AGTTTGTCAGAGATGAATGTGGTTTGTATCTGGTGTTAAAACAACAGCTACTGTTTCTGTTTATTTGGCTGAGATGCAGTGCACATGGAAATTCCTAAGCCTCTTCTAATTGTAAAGTATGCTTTCACCCATGCTCTGCTCTGTGTCTGCTTGTAGCAGTGTGACAGAACTGATACTCTCTTGAGGGGGGATCTACACATCATTAGCATGAACAAAGGAAATATGCATTACAAAAGGAGTATTCTACTTTTTGGCTAAGGATGGCATGGTAACAGAATTCTCACGGTTCACTACTCATTCTGGTACAACAGCCCAAGAATATTATTTTCCAAAGTTGGCCATCTTTATCTGGGCCTCACAGAAGGTAGTAACTCTTGCACGTCTATTTTATGAGTGAGTCTTTTATCATTTACTCTGAGTGTAAAATTTAACTTGTAATTTACAAGTAGTTTACAAGCCCTCACTGAAGTCTAGCATGCTCTTGAAATAAAATGCTTTCCTGTCAACAACTAGTCTATTAAAAAATTACTGTTGCTGTCAAACTGATTATGTGGACAACCTTTGATAACGGGTTGTTATATTCTTTCTGTAGATTTGGCAGTTTTCCACTAATGGACCGGTGTTCTCATCTCCATGCATCTCAAGTTTAACTAAGCAAGAAATATTTTTTGGCTCCCATGATTGCTTTATCTACTGTTGTAACACGGAGGGTAATTTACTGTGGAAATTTAAAGCTTCTTCAAGTGTGTATGGAACACCATTCGTTTTCCAAAGTGATGACTTAAAGAACAAAATTCTTTTAGCAGCAATATCTACAGATGGCAAAGTGTGGATCCTGAATGCCAAGAGTGGAACAGCGGAAGGAGTAGATAAGCTTCCAGGAGAGGTTTTCTCTTCCCCTGTAGTGTGGGGAACAAAGCTTGTTGTCGGCTGTAGAAATGATTATGTTTATTGCCTAGATTTGTATATACAGGAAAAAAAGAACAGCTAAGATGTTAGGCTGCTTCCCTTTTATTGTTTACATTGTAAACTAAGAACTCGCAGGTCCTCTCTACCTCTGTGTCTATTTTACTGTAGGCAAGAGGTGCTCTTTGCAGACTTCCCAGGTAGCATTTTGCAGAAGGCAGCGTCCAGTGTATGTAGCACTCTACTGATTGAACAAGGATGGCTGCTCAGCACCAAGCCAGAGGTTTCACTGTCCCTCCCTCATTTTCCAGCTACAATTAATGAAATAACGTTTCAGATGGTTTGGATTTGAATGTCGTGCTTTGGCCCATGTTATGAGAAAAAGTAAGTCAGTAGTTTGGCTTCAACTTGCAGGGTTGGGAGAAACTGTGGTAAGGTGCCATACTCTGCAGCTTGGAATAACATGCTTCTCTCCCTGAGGAAGGAATGTATTCCTCTCTCCAAGTCCAAGCCTAGCCTGTGCCCTGAGGTTCTTTCCTAGCCTGTGCCTGGCTCTTCCATGCATCAGACTGGTGTTTGTCTAGTCTGATGAGGTTTCTGTGCTGTGACAGGTTCTTTTTTGAATCTTAACTTCCAACTTGATTTCTGAAGACGTAGCCTGCATTGCATATGCCTGGTAGTAGCGACCTGGTTGCTACAGTATGTTTAAACTGAGTAGCTCATCTCTTGTGAGCCTAGGCCCTCCTTGGCTTCTATTCAGTGATGCATATACCGAAACTCCATTGAAGTCAGCAGGATTTTCTTCTTGTATTCTAAAGTACAGAATATATCTACATGTGTATATTTATTAAATTTCAATGATTGGTACAGTCTGGTTTCCAAGATGAAGTGTGCATTGCTCAAATCAACCATTGTCAATTTTTTAGGGGATCTGAATAAATGCTTGCTACAGTGTCTTTGCAGAGAACTATTAATAAAAGGTTATGTAAATTTGGTTTGGTTGTCTTTAACACCTTAAATTAATTACCGGTATTAGTAATGCAAATCAAGTATTTGCAGTGACAGAAGTACACATAACTGAGAGCATCTTTCTACCTATGAGTCTTCTAAAAGAACTGTACTAGAAACTATTGCCTCACTCTCTGATGAGCCATCTATTTTGAATTACAGTTCCTTAGCAGAAATGCTTAGTCAAGACACTTGTAGCACCGTGAAAAGTTGTCTTTATAAAGCAAACCTGAACTACGCAATTCGCAAAAGGAGACGCAGAATACATACATCAATTAGATAATTTTGACTGGGTTATAGTTTAATAAGAATTAAAATGACATTAGTATAATAAACAATTGCACTTTAAAACATTTGAAAAATTAAAAAAGTACACAACAAATACCCCACAATTGTACATCTTATAGTTTTTATACATTACTATATGAACATAGAGGTTAATCATATATAACCTTGTCAGAAGAAATGGTATTTTGTGTCTATAAGTTACAAAAAATTGAGACAATATACTACATAGTGGTTTGTTTGGTTCTTAAAACAGTTTTGCTGTTTTAAACTCTGTAGTAATGTTTTGGTTTTATTTTTACAGATTTCCAACACTTTATCAGAAATGGTTGCAACAAAGCCAAAGCAAAGTAACACTTCATTGGTATTTAGTGCAAAATTTTGTTAACATGAAATGTGTCACTGTTGAACATGTACACTTTAGAAATGTTTCCATCAAGTACTGTACATAATACAGTTTCCATTATTACACTAGATACCTTTATGGTTGAAAAAAACTCTGCTTTGAAGCTTTAGATTAGGACAACCCTTAATGAAAGCTCTATTCTATGTGCTATAAATGTATTGGAAAATTGCATCCTTATGTCATGCACAATAGCACCTAATTTTGCTATGCTTTTCAGAATACCAGTATCTTTAATCCTTTAATCCTGATTTACTTCACCTTCTCTATATTTCTGCCTGGCTCCTTCTCCCAGGAAATAATTACAAAGATGGATTTCAGGCAGTTTATTTCTTGTGATTACAAATACATACTGCAGGCTTATAAACTCAGAAAAAGGGTAAATTTAATTTAAGATGCGCTAACTCATGGTGCTAGCAGAGCAAAAAAAAAATTATGGTCAAGATTAATTCTTCAAATAAGCTTGCAGAGATTTGACTTTGAAGGTGGCATTTTGGGTTTTTTGCCCCCCAAGTACTTGAGAGCAGCATTGAGTCATCCCTATATAAAATGTTTTATATACCTTATACTAAGGATAAAAAGCTATTTCAGAGATTTTGATTTTAAATTTGAAACTGAGCAAAACTGATGGCTTAAGAGACCCAAGAAAACCCATAGAATGACAATGGTTTGGGTTGGAAGGGACCTTAAAGATCATCTAGTTCCACACACCCCCCCCCCCCTTCCACTAGACAAGGTTGTGCAAAGCCCCATCTAACCTGGCCTTGAACACTTTCAGTTCCATCTTGCCTGCTGCACATCTACTTGATCTAACATGTCCATTGTGTTGTGCTATTGTAACCACTATACTGAGCCATGGGAAGTAGTGTATTCAATAATGACTTTTGCTGACAAGTCCTTTTTGATTCTTGGAACAGGAGGATACGGCAGGTTTCGTTCTGTTTTCTGCATAATTTAAAGTGCTACTTACTCCTTGTGCTGCATACAGCAGTTTGGCTAAAATACTTCCATGAAATACATAATGATACAGTTTCTTCCCATGAAAGTATCTCCCTTTATGATGTTGTAGGCTTAAAGGTTTCTTTGAGCCTTATGGTTATAAGAAGGAGATTTGCAACTTTCTTTAAGACTTCCTTGTTAAAGAAACTCAGGTGTGTTACAGATTTATTTATTAGGGTGACTTTCTAAAATGTAGACTTAGCTATTTCTGTAGGATATTGAGGACAGTAAAATTTTTATTACTTTGTGGACTTTATCCTTTTTTGTAAGATGGAGGGGGTAAACATTTCTATTTTAGTTCCAAGAAGTAATAAAGTGTTTTAACTGCCACAGCAGATACCTGAGATGGGCTAAGTAAACTTCTTTCCGAAGTGTTCTGGCTGTATTGGTCAAAGTACAGGAAGATATCTAACTACCTGAAGTTGCACGTGCAGTAAAATCAGGAAGAAGGCAGAGTTAAAATTCCTGAGACTCCCACCAACTTACCTTTCCATTCTCAGTTAACTTCAGTTCAGCAAGTCTTACTCCTGTGGGAACTTACTGAGACAAATTCTACAGCTACATGGGCACAGGAATAGTTTTCCTTATTTTAGTTCCACTTGATTTTAAAGGTGTAATCTGCAATCACTGTCTTTATGCATCTTAAATATGGCACAAACAGTGATGCTGTTAAATGACTTAGAAGAAACACTGACTCTCTGGCTTCTTTTGGAAAATTTTCTGATTTTTTTTTTTTTAAGTAATGTTTTCATTTACCTTTATTTTTTTTTAAATAGGATGAATTGTTTTCTTCCTAGGAGTGAGGGAATACAGACATAGTGTATTAATCCTATGAGGAAATAATTTATCTCAGCACTTGGATAGTACCATCTTTCTACTTATCATTTGCAGGTGGAATAATAGCTCTCAAATTTCATCATTAGGGAAGAAGCTTTCAAATTACAAATAGAACTGACAGTTCATACAGTTTAACACTTAAAAGAAAAACTTAGGAATAAGAGAAGGGAACATGCATCTTGCCTTATTTTCAACAATGGAGTGTTGAAAAAGATTTCTGAGATCAATGCTTAATTATAGAGTTCTAAAATTCCAGAACCAAATACCCACAGAATTTAAGGAGCTTCTGAACTGAAGTTCTGGCCCTTATTATGATACTAAAATTTACATCCAATATCTGAGCATTCGTAAGTTTTTGACAGAGTCTGTCTCTGAACTTTTTGCCATGACCTTATTTAGCTATTTGTCAAAGCAATGGAATACGTGACTTGAATAGACTTTACAGAGAGCTAGAGCAAAATAATAATCAGTTCACTTTTCAGTCTTTCAATGCATGCATTTTCGGTTTTGTCATGTAAAAAGCTGAATAAATAGCAATTAATAGTCAGCAACAGAGATGTAGTTTTAAAGTTTACTTTATGATCTGCGGACAGTCACTCCAGGCTTTCGCTTTCCTCTTGGCTAAAGCAAGCCAGGCTGGTTCTGTTGACACAGGGTTAGCATCAGGTGTAGAGAATCTCTTGGCCACTTCCTTTGCCAGTGGGGTTGACGGAACAGAATCCGAAATTTCCACTGGTTTTGATGGGATGGGAAGATAAAAACATTAGTTGAACCGTGCTTTGTTGCAGAATACTAGAGATTTCACTTCTTTTCTATGCACATGTTCTAATCTAACACTTCATATTTATTTCCAACCCTTTTAATTTAAATCTTACTTTCCATTATAGTTACAAAATAATCAAGGTAGGAGGAAGCGAGTTTCCTTTTTCAGAGTGGACTCCAAGTAAGGTAACTCGCAATAACAGGAGCAAAATTTTCAGTCTCTGTGAGATTCAAAGAAAACATTTCCACTTCGCCAGTCATTGTCTTTACATAAACCATTTTAATTACATCTGCAATGTAATGAACAATGGGAAATAAAGATGGATATTTTCCTTTTGGTAATGCAGCTGCTGAACATGTTATACTGAATAGAGTAAGCCAACTGTATTCAGGAGGATTTAAATTTCCTCTTCAGATTAGGGTTCTTAAATAAGCACAGAGAAGAAAGCAGTCCTATAGCTCCCTGCCTCAGTTAACCACACCTATAAGACTATCCTGAAGAATAAATAAACCAGGTTTTTCTCACAGCTGTTTGTCACATTTTCTTGAAAACACTATATTTAAGGCAAACAGCTGTCTCAGCAAGAAAATGTGTTGAATGAGCAACTGATTTCTAACAAGCAACTTAATGGAGCAGAACTGCAGAAGTATATTGTAGAAGTCAGGTGAGAAAGATTGTTTAATTCTGAGATAGTGAATACTCTTGTAGGTAACCTGGCTAGATAATGGGCCCTATCTGAAACCTATAGTGTAACTAAAAATCGAAAGTTACAATGTAACTCCTCACTAATTCCACCCCCCACCCCCCCCACCCCCCCTTACACTTTTTCCTTTTTATGAGCCAAAAGGTTTTTTTCTGTTTAATGTGCAGATTCAGTCCAAATGACTTTTGGTTGCATTTCTTTTTCAGGTTTTGAATGTTTTAAAAACCTTTAAAATTGCAGGGATGGCAAAAAACATTTCATTTTCTTTTTAGTCCATCTTTAGTCATGTATTTTTAGCTACTAGTAAATGAGCAGTAGCAGCAACTATTGCTATAGACACACTTTGAAAAGCTGATTATTTTAAATGTTATGGTAATTTATGCTATTTTAAAGGTTATACCCTCTTATCAGTTTCTGTTGTACAAGACTCAAGTGCAAGTCTGAAATATACCAACTTCTTCAAGTTTTGGGTGGGTTTTTGTGTTGTCCTTAGAGGAATACTCTGCAAACTTTTATTTTAAACGTGTCCTAGCCTGGTCATCTGCCTTAAATGTTCTCCTAACTGTGGAAAATGCACATTGGTGTCATCATCTATAATAAACAAATACTCGTATAGGTGCATAGCTGGTAATGGCTACCTGGCTCTAAATGTAGCCAGTAAACACACAGATACCCAATCACTATTTCCGTTATGGCCAACACAGTTCCATGCTTTCAATTCAGGTAATTCAAAATCAGTCATTCCTCCTGAAACTCTCACTCTAGTGCAGACAGACCAACCAAGGATAATGAGGGTTTAGCCCTTTTAGATCTACCTTTAGTATACCTTGGATCTAGCCTTTAGTATTATAGATCAGATAGATAAATAAATTACCTCATTGGTTTCAGTAGTTGCATTCCACAGTTCTTGGCTTGGAGTGGTACTGAATAGATTCAGCTGATACATATCAGCTTCAATTCGCTTTTAAAGAGGCCTACACTATTTACTGTGCAACTCTGAAAAAGGTTTCTTAAACACCTATCTGTAGTCTTGTCCAAAACCTTTTGCCTAGGATTAACGTTGGCTACAGAAATATTAGACAAGTCTTTATTTCAACAATCATCTTATACCATCGCAAATATTGTGCCCTTTGGGGAAGTATTTATTTTAATGTGCATGCTTTTTGAATATGGAATTGTTTCAGCTTAACTGAAGTGACAGATAAAATAGTAGGTTCTGGTTCCAACCTTCCATACCAAGTCCTTGACTGGAATGGAGAAATCCAAAATTCAAAGTGACAGGCTACCTTTGCTTTTGATTAGGGAATTGATTAGGTTTTATATTTTTGAGTTAACCAAGAGTACTCGTTGCAAATATTCTTGGGTGAGTTATTTCTTCTTGGCAAACTGGAAGGTGTAGGAACACACTATGCATCGTTTCCCACAAAAATACACTTTGTAGCAGTTAAGTATCATTCCCCCTCTGCTAAACGCCTACCTAAAGGCAAAACAATACTGCAATTGCAATTTACAGTAAATAAAATCCCTCTAATGTGCATTGGTCATGTTCCAAAAATACTGTTGGATATGGCTTGGGGAGACTGCCTAAATTTTTTAACCTGCACTGAGGCAATTCTAAGGAAATGCAGTAATGCAACCTTAATAATCTGTGGAGCCTTGTAAAAACCTGTTAAAATTATGTTCTTCTTGCATAATGGCCAACACATGAGACAGGGACAAGCTGTGTTGTTCTGGGCTGAAAGCAAATGCGTTTGTAATTTTAGGGATGATATATGACTGGAGGGAAATATCATTCTTTCACTTTCTCAGAAACATGCAATACCATTTCTGTAACACATTATTCCCAGAGTAAAAGTGAATCTGTTACTGTACCTGTCACTGAAGTCGGAAGGGTGTTTGACTTTTTTAGCTGCTCCCTTCTTTCTAGCCTTGACACAGCAGTCTCAATTTTCTTCTCCCCTTCTTGAGTTGTAGATTTCTGCAGTGTGCTTGTTTTGCTGCTGCTGCTGCTTTTATTATCTGACTGATTACTTAGAGCAGCCTAGAAAAGAAAAGAAAGGAAAACCTGGTAAATGAGAAATTCTCATGTAATGGCTACAAGTACGAGATGTCATACTTGATGCTTTTATTCACCACCTGTCCTTTCCTTAACCTTCCTTTTCAGCAAAGAATCAAAAGGCTCTCATACTTCTAAAAGTAACAGTTATTAGAGACTGTAAAAAAAAAAAACACCCAACCCACAGTTATGTTTGTCATGTTGTCATTTCAGTCAAAATATTGAACAGTTTGAACCAGCCGTACCTGTTAAAGACAACACTGAAACACAGTGTGCACCTGTGGGCAGCTTCACACCCACTGCTCTTTTATTCCACCAGTTATCTGTGTCTGCAATTCTGCACATGTCCTTCAGAAATTTGGATCTCATAAAAACATCAAAATATATTTAGTTACCAACATAATCTCCCTTTTTACTATCTGTGGTATCTTTACGCAGCATCACTATTTGTGTAGCATCACTTCTCTACTGTAAGTGGAAGTGTTTTTCTTACTAATAGAAAACCACGGGTAGTAAATAGCTATTTGGAGAACAGGAAGAAGTGATCCTTGAATTCAGTGCTTGCTTTAGGCATTTGGATGTGTCACATGATGGCTCATTTCATTCATCTGCATTTTATCCAAATAATAGGTTACAATAAAAATAAATTCAAGCTTACTAATATTCACCTATAAGTGAGTAATCTAGCTGTTATTCCCAAGCATTAAGGGTTAACATCTTATTTACTCAATCTTTGAAAAAACCATGTTGCATACAATTCTTCTGTTCCATCACCTGCACAGTGGTTATGCTTATGACTGCCAGTAACTAAAACCTGCTATTAAGGCATCAGAATTTATGTTAAAATTGTCACACTATTGCACAGTATTTTCTCCTGGAGGTCCCAGTTTCAAAGGAAACTCCAAACTTTCAGACTACTTTTTTTCCTCACTGTCGTTTTAGCTTTTATGAAATCTTACAAACCAAACATTAAAAATAAAAACAACCCCCTTTCACGCAATAAAACTAGCTAACAGTTATAATTATGGTATCAGTGTTTCTAATGAGCAGGTTTCTAAAGATTGTTTACATTTTCTTTAGCCAGCTTCTCTGCTTGCTTCGCCTCTCTGGCTTGTCTCCTCTCTTCCCTTGTAGCTTGCTGCTCACGAAATCCCTTTTGCTTCTGCAGCGCTAATGTAATCCAAAGCGGTTGTGAAGTTTCAACTTTTTCCATCACCTTAGAGCCATCTAAAGAGTGCCTGCTCTGGAGGACAGGCTTTTCTGAAAGAAAACATGACAAGAATGGGTTGAGCAATGCACATCTCTTGTCTCAAGCAAACCCATACAGCTACTCTACCTTGTGAAGACACTGGAGCTAAGCCCATAGAATGCCATGCCATTCACAGACCACCATGGACTCTTAAATCAAATCCCAAAACAGTTTTTATGCCCCAAGAACAACTCCTAATTCAACACACTCATACAGTTGTCCAGATTTATCTTTCTTTGTGTGTGAAAAAGCCTACCTCAGACACTTAGACTTACAGCCTTATTTTACTATAAATGTTTGCAGTGTGAGATATTTAAGTGAAAGGGATACATATGCACTGCTTGTTTATAACTCTGATGAAAGGGACCCAGCCACTATATAGGTACTTAATTTCCCTGGATTTCCAGCTATAATTAAGGGAAGAAGAGTATCTGAACTTCAGGCAAAAGAAGGGGGCTGAAATTATGTACTCCCGTGCTGGGGCTCTTAAAACAATGTTGTGGGGGGTGGGTGTGTGTGTTAAATTGTCACATGAGCATTTGGCTTTCTGTACCCTGCATGGAACTGGGGCTAGAACACACTATAGATCTGTGAGCTGCAGGGAGCAGCACTGGGGTGCAAAGGTGCACAGTGAGCACTGAAACCCTCAGCTTCAGTTATTCTCCAAGGCCAACAACTGTGCCTCCAACTACTTTCCATAAATCCTCATTTAGAAATGGAAGTGAGAGAAAAACATGTAGAAATTGTAAAATAAAAAGCAGCAGTTCCACTGAAATATGGTTTTAGAAGTGTCTTGATGCTTGCAAAATTCAAGAACAGAAAGTAATTAGGATTTCCCAATTAAATGCAGAATTCCTGCCTTGCTCTTTTGACTGTCCTTACACCAAAAGGGTATTTTTTCCTCTTTTTCCTCTTCTTACTACTCTGTTTTTTTCCTCTAGTACAGAATATTATTTCAGAACAAAAGGGCTTTCAACCCTCCTCTGAAGAGCCACTATGGCTACTGTAGCTGTTGCTATTACTGAAGAGTGCCTATGAAACACAGACTCCTGTGCTCAGCTATATCGGGTTAGATAGACAATTTGCCCAGAATAGGCACTATAAGGGGACCTAGGTCTTGATATTTTCCACACTAGATAATATTCCCCTAAAAAATAGAAACAATACAATGTAAGTTATAAAACTTACTACCTCTGCTCTGATGACACCATTACACATCATAGAATCCTAGAAGTCCAGGTTGGAAGGGATGTCAAGGATCACCTGGTCCAACCTTTCTTGGCAAAAGCACTGTCTAGACAAAGGGGCCCAGCACCCTGTCCAGCTGAATCTCAAATGTCCAATACCGGGGAGTTCACCAGTTCCCTGTGAAGATTATTCCAACGGCCAATTGTTCTCACTGTGGAAGCCCACAGAGTCTATCCTCTCACTAACAAGCTGTAATATCCTTACCAAGGAAAACACATACACTTCAGTTACCTCCTTGAAATTAATTCTCTTAAGCAGGTTGCACTGTGTGTTTCTGAATGTGGGAATGGGAAGTGCCATTCATTCAGACAAGCCTCAGCAAAGTAGTGGTATTCCACAAATAACATGCCAGGTAAAAATTATAGCTTAAGACCAAATGTCTTCCTGTGAATCTCCAGGATCTCATTTTGGAAATGCAGACAATAGCTAAATGGCTTTTAAAAAATACATACCTTTCTTCAGTGGCTCAGGCTTTTTGTCATTTCTTTCTCTCCATGGAATACTTATAGATGGGAAAAATGACTTCTTTTCTCTGATTTCTTCCTCTTCATTTTTGTTCTCATTGGATGGTGTGGGGTGCACTGCATTTGCTCTGTCTTCTTTTCTCCAGCCACCATCTGATTCAGCTTTAACCAGCCTTTGCCCTAGTGTATCAGCTAGGTTTGATCTGTTCATTTTAGAGAGAGGAGATGATGGTGGTGTCTGGTTGGTGGGCTTTGGAGCTAAAGCAGGTTTCTGTGGGACCGGTGACTTGCATGCTGGTTTCTCATGATGGGGTAAAGCACTCTGGCCGGTGGCTGGTAGTGCTGGTGTGCCTGCTGTATGTGAAATCTCCACCACAGTAACTGAAGAGTCTTTTGAGTCTTTTATATTAGCAGGGACATTTGCTCTCCCCGTGCCAGGGGATGTACCCTCCTGCGGAGCAAAAACAGAGGATTCTTTCTCATCTTCTGTTGTAACTAAGGGGTCAGGCACACCGTCAAAACTGTCTCCTGCACTGTATCTTTTCTTTTTCCTCTGCTCTGCCTGTTGATCATAATGGAAACGTAAAGAGTAGTTTGTCCTTCGTAACTTTATCCCAAAAGGAGAAACATTTTCTTCTCCATTTGGCGCTGGTTTATCTGTTTTTTTGGTGCTGTTACTCGGCTGATTTTCCAGAGGACCCTGAACTTCTTGCTGGGACACTTCTTTACCTGGAGAATGAGGAAAACTTGGAACAAGGAAAGATGGAAGATCTTTTGCAAATTTACAGCCTTCTGTGTTGTCTGCCATTTCTCTATGGGATTCCATTTTCTCCTTAGCTTTTTTGGCTACGTTATCCTTAAAAGTGGGAGCCCCATCCTCCTTTGAATCAGTGGCTGAGCCAGTGATTCTTCCCACAGCCACTGTTTCATTGCCTTTTGCCGCAATCACATTCTCAACGTCTGAACTGGTTTTTGAAGCTTCTGAAAACTTCTGCCATGCAGGTGTTATGGAGAACTTTGCATTAGCAGAGAGGGTCTTCCTCAAGTTGCCATGGGAAGCACCGCGTCCTCGGGGTGTCCAATCATCACTGTGCCTGCAGACACTCACTCGGTCCCGCTCGTTGTATTTGCTGTTTTCTGCGTTCTTTAGGATTCTGGAGCGGATGGAGGCCCACTCAGCCAGCACAGCCTGATTGTTCAGTGTCTCTTGTGCATATTTCAATTTGCTGCTGCTGGGTTTGGGATCCTGTTTTTTTTTCTGGGCCTTCTCTGGTGAAGGAATATCCACATTTTTTCTCTCTTCTGTTAAGCCAAGTAATGATTTACAAGCCGTGTCCTTTATCTGGTTCAAGTTAACTGCTGTGCCACACAGCTGTGCTCCAGTAACCAAAATAGCTGTATGGGGCACACACACAGATGACGGGAGTGTATGAGAGCCCTTGCTGACAGTGTGCACCCTGGAGTCTTTGACGGATGTAGGAGAGAGTCCTGCTCCTTTGACAGGCATGACTGGACTCAGATTTACTTTCTGAAATATGATCTGTTTATCTCCAGAAGACACTTGAAATGTGAAGGGTCTGGATGCAGTTTGTCGTTCATCTACCTCTTGCCACCTAAGTTCTTCCCCTATTCGCTTTTGTTCCTGAGCCTCAACTTCTCTCTTCAGTTTCTGGGCTAGGACTTCTTCTGCTGTTTTATTCCCTTTTTCTGACTGCTTGAGTTTTGGGGATCTTGAGCTTTCTTGGAGCTTCTCCTCTACCGGATGCCTATCAGCTTCTCCAGAACACAGCTGATCTTTGTCCTGTTGCTGTTCCAAGGATTTTTCTTGTTGGTGTTGCTGAAGATTTTGTTCATCTGTGTCTACCTTCTGCTCTTCCACCTTGTTCCATTCTTGCTCATTTTGTTCCTTTTGTTGCTTTAGTTCATCCTGTTGCATACCCTCTGCGCTTTCCATGTGCATTTGTTTTGTGAGTCTGTGTTTTCTATGTTCTTCCTGTTTCTTTTTCTTACCCATTACTTGCTGGGGTTGTTCCTTCTCTGTCTTTTCTCTTTTCTCCTCTAAGTGCTGCCTTTGTTCGTCTTGTTTCATCTGTTGTTTGAGGCTCTCGGCTTCTTTCTCCTGCTTCAATTTTATTTCAGATTCTCTCTCTTCTAGCTCTCGTCTCTGGTTTTCTTCCTTATTTTGTTCCTTGAGTCCTTTTTGTTGCTGTAGCCAATTTCTTTCTTCTTCCTCTTGGCACTGTTTTTCAGTCTCGTGTTGCCTTAATTCTTCTAGCTCTAGCCTCTTCTGCTCCTCCAGCTCTCTTCTCTGCTTCTCCTCCAGCTCCTTGCACGTCTGTTCTTCCTGTTCCTGGCACTTCTGCTCCTCCAGTTCTTGTCTCTGTTGCTCATCCCTCTCCTGGTGCTTCTGCTCCTCCAGCTCTTGTGTCTTTTTCTCCTCTAGCTCTCTTGGTTTCTCCTCTAGCTCTCTTGGTTTCTCCTCCAGCTCTCGTCTCTGTTGCTCATCCTGTTCCCAGCACTTCTGCTCCTCCAGCTCTTGTCTCTGTTGCTCATCCTGTTCCCAGCACTTCTGCTCCTCCAGCTCTTGTCTCTGTTGCTCCTCCAGCTCCCATCTCAGTTGCTCCTCCAGCTCCTTCTGCCTCTGCTTCTCCAGTTCCTGACACATCCGTTCCTCCAGCTCTCGTCTCTGTTGCTCCTCCAGCTCCTTTTTCCTCTTCTCCAGTTCTTGGCACCTCTGTTCCTCCAGCTCTCGTCTCTGTACCTCCTCCCATTTCTGGTGCTTCTTCTCCTCCATATCTCGTCCCTGTTGCTCTTCCAACTCCTTCTGCTTCTGCTTCTCCAGTTCCTGTTGCCTCTGCCCCTCCAGCTCTCGCCTCTTTTCAGCCTCCACCAGTCTTGTCTCCTCTTTATGGCTTGTTTGCTCTTCTGCTTTCAAAGATGTCTCTCCTTTGAGAACATACTGCCTTCTCTCTTCTTCACACCTTCTCTCCTGCTCTTTCTGCATCTGCTCAAGTTCTTGGCACCTTTGTTCTTCCATCTCTCTTTGTTCCTCCATTTCTACAATCTGCCTTATCCTTTCGGCCTCAAAGATCCCCCAGTGATCTTCAATTCTTTTCTCCTCTGCCAGCTGAAGCTGCTTCTGTTCATCTCTGTTCTGAATTAGCTTGTCTGCTATGTGTCCATTATAACCTGGGTATCTGTCTCCATACAGTGGCATGTCGAGGTCATCTGGTTCAAATTCTGTTATTGTTAAACTTTGTGATCCCTAAAATAGGAAGACAAGTTTGAAGTTACTGAATACTGCTTGTTGATTGTTCTCTACAGTAAACAAAATCAGTTGCAAATGTGAAACAACTTTTGGAGTTTTTTGGGGGGTTTTGTTTGTACTGTTTTGTTTAAAGGATGACTCAGATCCAGAGCCAACACACCCACCCCAATTCATGGATCATAGATGCCATGGCTCTCACCTATTCAGATTATAGCCTTTAAAAGAAAGAAAACATTCCAACAGTGATAACAGTATAACACTAAATACTGAATCACCATTTGGTGTACATGAGCTAATCCAGATTGAGACCCGACATTTCAAATTTACAGGAGCCCAAGGAATACAGCATAAGCTTCATATGCCTGTTCTGCTACATAGAACTGCATCCTTTAAGCCTGAAATAATTAGCTGTGCTTACAGGCATTGTTTTGCCAGTTCTTTCATGGCAGATCTAGCTGCTACTTGCAGAGACAGAAGCTGTTGCCTGCAGAAAAGAGCTCTGTGATGCTAGCCAGGAAAGAACACTGCTCAGGGAAACACAATTTGGTTGCTTTTCACAAATCCTGAGCCAGTTTATCTTCCTCATTAGGCGTGCTGAGGCTCCAGTTCTATTGCATCAACCAGGAGACCATGCATGGGCAGAGAACCTAGAGCTCACTGGCAATACCGTGCTCTACTAAGGCACATGCTAGCTGCTGACTGATTCTCTGTGCTTGCCCCGCAGCCCTGTCTTGTGGGTGCAATAACTGCGATAAACTGACTGCTGACTACCTTCATAGGTTACTCCTTGTCTCTGTAGTGACATGTAAGTCATTCTGTAAGATGATCTGCACCTGAAGATTCCTTCCCAGCACTTTCCTTGAGGAAAACATATCAGCTAATGGCTTGTCTAGCTATCATTTGTTGAGCCATCATTTGGCTCCAGTTAAATATTCTGTATGAACAAGAGGCTTTAATTTAATTTCTCCATTGCAAGAATGATACATGCAAGTACAATGGTGTGGAAGAAAGGACAGTGGCCTCTCTTGAACCCTGTATCAGTTGAACAATCTTGTCCCATTTACAAGCACTAATAAGATGTCAGGATAAAAACCAAAATATCCGTGCAGTAAGTGTTCAAAGCTAGAATCCAGTAACTTACTGTTAAGTTAGCTGTGTTACTCAAGTCTAACCCACTCTTACAAGACAATGATATTCTCACTGTCAGAACCCATGCCAGTTTTAGAGAACCTGTTTTTCCCCAAGCAAATTTTGCACTGTCTGTTTTACTGCACCCAAGGAGAATTAGCAGTGGCAGACATCCTTCAGACCTTTATGCCCTTAAATTTTTACTATAAAAACTAGAACCATAAAGTTTTCCAAGTGTAAAATCTAGTGGAAGTACTTCAGTTGTAAACAGTATTTGTCTCAACTGGCTATATTAAAACTTCTTGGCATCTTTTCTAACAGTGTTAATCACATTTTAGGACAGTCCTCTGCCTGTAGCTACTCCTGGTGCACTCTGTTACAGTTATATGGTACCCCCCCCCCCCGTTTGACCAGTGGTTCAATACCTTTGTTAATCTCTTGTGCTTCCTTGATATCTTCTGCTTTTTTGGCTTTACTGACAGCTTATGTTTAGCTGCACTGTTGTCTAGACGAGCAACAGCCTGAGGAACTGCATCCAAATTGATTGTTTCAATTGTGCCAGAACAGGAAAATTGTCTTTTTGGCCGAGATGATTTGACTGGAGTGACCTGTTTGTACCATAAACACACAAAGCTATTATTAAGCTAGCTGTTCCATTTAAAGTAAATAAATAAATAACACACACATACAAAAAGCCTTTGCCATTTTGAATTCAAAGGAATTATTAGCAGAAAAGTTTTCATGCTCCGTTTTTCCATTATACAAGTCATGAACTTTGGACATGAAAGTCACAGCTGTAACATTTTAGGTTCCCAGGACTACGCATTTTAATACTTTCCACATAAAAATTACTTAGACCGTTCTAAGTGAAGGTTTTTTCACAGTTTAGCTCCACTCTGAAGTTGTTGGGAATGGGAAGGACCGAGGCAGAGTTTCAAGCAACATCAAACACTGGGACATTTTAAAGTTTGCTTACTGTGGAAAAAATATCTCTAAATAATTTAGATTATGCACTTTAGGCAAGAGCAAATCAGACTGACTTATCTAAGCAGTATAATAGAACAGCTAGAGCTGTACTATCTGCATGGGAGATGACTGCGGTACTGGGTCTCAGACTGGCAAAGTGCCTGCAGAAAACCTTCCCTCCACAGTCACATGGAGCTGTCCAAGCTAGCACTGAAGGACAGCAAAAAATAAACTAGGACAATCCTGGCTTTGATTGGTTATTTTTTTCTCTTGGCTTTCAAATATTTGGGTTCAGAAAGTGCAAATACAAGCAATACGATTTAGTGAGACTCCTCTCATGAATAATTCTCTGGAACTGTATGTCTAGACATGCAAGTGAGCCTGTCATCAGTCTCTCCCGTAAGTCACTCAGCCACTATCCTGAGTCTTGTATTTGGCACAGTCCAAGTAGAAAAAGAAGACAGAAAAAAAAATAAAAGAAGAAGAAAACATCTTCTGTAAGGAAAGAAAATCACACACATTGTTTTCAAGACAGCTCTGTAATCTTCTGAGGTTAAACATATGCTAATTGGGAAGCCAATTACTTAAAAGCTGATGGAATATTTAGCATATGCTTATTGAATTACATGTAGGCATAACAAAATAGTAGAAGTACTTATGGAAATTATGGCTCTATGATTAATACATCAAATACAGGAATGCTGCAAGACTGGCAGAGACTGCTGTTTCCTGCAATCAACTCTTACACATTTCTCAATCTTAGTTATTGTTTATTATGAGCCCCCAGAGTGTGTAACCTTCACAAAACCTTGGATGATCAATGAAAGAATGAAACATGTATTAAAGCAACAACTGACTGTCAGGCTTTTAATAACTAAAATTAGGAAGTAACTCAGTGCAAACCAAGTGTAAACATTTTTTTTACCTTTTCTTCCAGTTCATACGCAGTTGCAGGCAAAGTCATTGTTCTCAAAAAAGCCGGAGTGTCATGAGACTAAAAACCAAGATTACCACAGACAGATATTAAAATGTAAAAAAATCTTATAAACATGCTTCAAAGGACTTATGAAAGCATGCATGTTAGAGTAGGATTTTTACCCTGTCTCTTGTATTGGGATTGACAGACACACAACAGTTCCTAAATGCTGTGAGCTTATCTTTGCTGCTCTTTGAATCACTGCTTTCTATACAGAAGCAGTTGCTACTACAAGACACTACAAAGGGCATTAAACTCATGTTTCCTTAACACAACAACCAGGTTGCAATTGAAAAGAAAGAGCACAGCTTTGTAGGATTTCAATCAGCTCTTACTAAGTTCATTTTTTCTGACCTGCACCTAAAGAAAAACTATAGGGACCTCATCAGACATTACCTCTGCTACAAGTTTCAACTCCAGGTTCTTGATGTCTCCTCTTCTTACAAAGCAAACCAGCCCCCCTCCATCAATTGAAGCCTGTCGTTCATTGTGACTCCTTAGCTACCCTCCCTCTCCAAGCCGTCTCACAGAAGGTGATTTTTAAGGCACAGGGGTTGAAGCAGCATTCATCATGCCCAGGAGCACTGTTTTTAATCATTACATCATGGTATTAGTTCATAACTTAATGAAGGGTGTGAACCAATTACACCAGCTATACATGATTGTTGGTATAAAGCCTAAAAAGCCAGCTTTACAAATACAGGTTAGGTGAAACCCAGAGCTCTTGCCATTGATCCAAGTTACTCGGGAAAATCCTAAGTCACAAAGCAACACAGGAAACCTGTTTGAAGCAGAGCAGTGCTGTGTGGTCCTGACCACCATCTCGTAACAGAAGCTACCCCATACTCTCAGGACCTACGCAGATAAACACACAAGGGAGTTACAAGGCCAATGGCAGAGACAGGAGCAGAAACCAGGGAAGCTTCTGTGCACCAGAAAACTCTGATAAAGCAGGTAATGAGTAGTGCATGGAAAGAGAAAGGAAAGTACCGAGTGCTCTGGCTGACCCTATGCACGTAGTGTTGGTTTGTCTGTGTCTGCAGCCTCCTCTGAGTAGGGATGTTTGCTCCTTCAGTATTTGGAAAAAGAATTATGCAAAGGAACATTCATTTTGCTTTTAAAACCTAATATTTAAAAGACTAGGTGGTAAGGACTGCCTCCTTCCTCATTACACAAAGATACTCCAGTGGATTTTTAGTGCTTGAATGAGTTTCTCCTTCTAGCTGGAGGTCAGTAAGTGATCAGTCTCCTGCAGGACCCAGCAAGAAGTCTGTCTGCAGAGAATCTGTATTGGTGTCAAACACAGTACCCTGGCCTAATACCAGGGTACATAGCCAAAACCTGTCTGCAGCCCTGCTCCGCTGCACTCTGTTCTCTGAGATGCACAGGATGCTGTTGATACACCTTAACTGTTTCAGAAGGGAGTAGTTGTGAAGCAGAAAATGTATATTTTACTTTGGCTTCATTTTTGTCCTTTCAGACTGCTGAAAGGTGTAAGTGTGCAGGTCCAGCCCAAATGCCTGGCTCCCTGACATGTCTGACCACAGCCATGAAGGAAGTGGTCACAGGGGAGCTATGTTTCCGCTTAAAGAGGGATGAAGAATTTGGGCCACCTCAGCCATAAGTCTCCCTTTTGTGTGTATAAGCATGAGCTGCAGAGGACAGTTACTGCCTCTGCCTTTCACACAGCTAGCACTAGCATTAGTGAACTGGAGTGGAGGCTCATGTCCCAGTACCCCTCCAGGATCTCAAGGGCTGCATGTACATTGTGAATTGCTGCGTGCTTTTCCCAGAGGTTCCCAGGCGCAAAGTCAGCCTCCTCCAGGCAGGTAAGGATGTCCCTCTGTGCCCTGAGCTCCTATCAGCCATTACAGTGACACACAGAACCAGTTTTGCTTGGAGGATTTCCAGAGAGCTTCCGTCACTTATAATGTATCTTTGCTGTCTGAACAAGACCTTTCTGGACATCTGAATGTCCATAATTCCTGGTATCAAAACCTTCATGATAATTCAAATAGGTATTTGAATTACACTGGACACTGAGGTTTAGGGAGCACTCTCAAAATGTTTCTCCCCTTTCTTTGTCTTTGGTTCCTCTCCATGAGAAATATGGATATTTATCCTAAGGCCCAGGATCTTACAGGTTTAAGCTCCAGACCCCTCCCATTTTGGAATGATTTCCCTTTTTGCTGTTTGATGCTGTACACAACTTTCCATGCTGGGAAGTCCATATTTCAGGACATTTTCTGTCTCAAAATTTTCCCGCCTTATAGCTACACTGCGAGAGATGTGATACAGTGCATTGTTGACAGTTCAGAGCAGACATTCAAACCAGTAATTGTCGGACCCGGCTCAGGATGCCAAGAGCACACACACCTCACCACTCCAAGAAGCACAAGCTGAAAGACTCTACCCACATAAAACAGCCTGCTGAGTTCAGCTACGCTTTGCTGGAGACATCTGCTACGCCCCAATGATCTTTACTGTTTTAGTGCTGCTATAGTTCCATGAACACCTCAATTGAAAGTGCTTACTTTTTTACCACTGTCTGAGATCACTGTGTTCTGCTGAGTCTCAAGCTCCATGGGGCTACCGACCAACACATCCTCTTCCATACTAGCATTTGCTTCCCCCATTGTCCTCACAGAAATTGTCATTTGTGGAGGCTGCCCAAATTTTATATTCTTGGCCAACTGTTGCTGAAAAACAAAAAAAGAAGAACCAACATAAAAAGGTATCTCTATTATGAACAAAACAAGCTAAGTCTAGCACACACTCCTCCTCCACCTGAAAGCTTTCAGACACTGGACAAAGAAATCAAGGTTTATATTGCTGCAACATGATGGGCACCCCGAGTTCTTCCTCCCTGCAAAGTGAACAAGGTCAAGAATTTACTGCATAATTTCCAATTTTGGATGATCAACTTGAGTTCTTGTCAGTGTTGCCAACTTTGGCAAACTTCCTGTCAATTTTGAAACTTACCTTCTCTTCTTTTAAATCTATGTCCTAGGTTAAGACTTTGTTTACAAAAGCTAGTTATGAAAGCTTACCATTACAGAGAAATAAGATTATGAGCCAAGTGTACACTGAGAAACTATAACTGCCCCTAAAAGCCACTTTTCTCCACCCCCCAAATCCTGCATCTCATGCAACTGTAGTTCCTAAAGATATCCTTATTGTAATGTTTAGTTTTAAATGTTAAGGGTTTGGTTTAACCCTGCCTTAGAGGAGGCAAATTCTCAAAGGAGGGGAAACCCAGCTTCTTTTAGATGCCTGATCTCATAGGAACAACCCAGAAATTCATGTCTGCTCATGCTCACGTGCACTGCCACACCACTGCTTTTGCACAAAGAAGTTCATGGTGGCGACATGCAGTAGATGAATGGATTGAAGAGCTTTTCCACCATTTATTTTCCTCTTTGAAGTAATCTTCTCTTAAGCGTCACAAGAAAGTACTCTCAAATTATATCAAGCCTAAGATGAGTAAAATAAGTAGCATATAATATCTGTCCTCTGATGGGGTAAATGAGAAAAATTACAGCCCTGGCTACTGCAGAGACATACCACAGTCTTTGAAAGTGAACTTTTGGCAAAAGAATTAGAAGAAATTCTCTAGAAGAAGCAAATGGAGTGAGGAACATTTACTGATAGATTATCTTCCTGAAATACTTCAGGGAATCATTCTCAGTTAGGAAGGCAGGCACTGTGGAGTTATTTTCCTGATTTACTCTCTTTCAAACACAGAAAATTCTCCAAATGAGATCTCCCATTTCTGTCTTGCATTACTATGAACACCTACAGCTCAGCGATACTCCATTCAACTGTGCAGCTTCTATTCAGTGGAAATGTCAGGTACACACATGGACCCCTGCCATGAGTTTGCCACTGAGAACTGCAGAACATTGGAGCAGAAAGCATGTAGAACAATTATATTTTTTCCTGTAGCACTGAATCAGTAGCATGGCTTAGGTGAGCTGTTGGCAAGGGAAGATATGTTTTAGTAGCAACAGATGGACTTCTAAAAAAGTTCAGGTCACATCAGTCTCACTTGCCAGCATCGCCCAGTGGACTAGACTTTTACATAAAGTTTATCCATATTCCCCCAAAACATTACCAGATTTCTGTGTTGAGACAGATTTCTGTATTGAGAACTATTAAGACAAAAAAGTACATGTAAAGACTCCTTAGATCAGGTTATTAAATTAGAGTAGTTTTTCTCAGTCCTCTCATTAAGTTGCACATTACTTGTGCCCATTTGGATTTTAGCAGAAAGTAATGAAATTCATATAGTACCTAATTCTGGCATAATGGGCAGTTATGAATGGTAAAGATTTATTCCTGCTTAGATTACTGGCAGTGCACTCATAGTCTAAAGGCAAGGGTTTCACCAAGTCTTCCTAGGCATTCATGTTAGCAGTGCACCTCTCTGACTTGAAATCTTATGTTTCCACTGTGTAAATGGGACCTGGAGAGGGCAATAGATCTGTATTAGATAGTGTGATGGCTGCAACCCTGCTTTATTACCGCAGGCCCTCTGACAATAGTAGCAAATTATTTCAGAAAAGCTTCATTTGATAACATGTTTTCTAAGTTGAGGCTGCTCCTTTCTTCTTCTTCAAATCATATTCCTAGTTCTCCTAGACAAAAAACCTGGAACTGTCTGCATTTCTTGAGCCACTACCCAAGTAACTGAGGATTCATGCACCTGTTCCAAGGTGAGAACATGCACACATGTACATATTGTTTGCAACGTGTTTCGGAAGAAGAGATAATGTGTTATTCTCTTGATCTTTTGATCAAGTTCTTGATCTAGTTCATGTGCAATGCGTGGTGGGAGCTGTGTGGTGATGGAGCTATTGTGGAGAATGGTCTGTGCTTGAAAAAGAATGGCCATTTTAATTGTCATCAAGGATGCTTAATTGTCATCAAGAGGACTTTGCTGTGAAATTGCAAATTTGTGTACATAAAAGTTTAAAATGTCATTTTGCTGCTATTTCCAGGAAAGAGACCATCCTCAATATTTACGGACTGTACACAGCTGCTTGTGTGCTTTTGCTTCATTTTTAAATTACTTCAAAGTTTAAAAAATTTGTTTGCTCAAACCTGAATAAATTAGCTTGAAGACTGAAGACGAAGCTCCAGTAGCCCTCGCGTTCCTTCCAGGACAGAAGGCTCTTCTCTGTATGATTTATTTTTGGCCTTTTTTGAAGAAATGTAGCTTACAAAAAAGCTCCACTGATAGTTCTCTACTGACCAGTTTCTTTCAGTACTTTCTAGTCCCTAAAGCTGATGCCAAATAACAGATATTAGAATCTGAAATAGCAGAGAAAATTTGTTCTCATTGCTTTCAAAGAGCAATGTTAAACCTGCTCCTTGGTCTTTTGAAAGAACTACAGTGCAATTATCCTCTCTCAGAAAAATTTATACAGAAGCATTCTCTACCTGCTCAATCATAAAAACCCTAAAAAAGGAAAACCCCAAAAAAGAAAAAACACCCCCAGCTTTTACTTGGAAGAGCACACACAGACATTCTAACCCAAGAGATGGAGAGATACATGAATTTAAGCTGCAAGACCACTGAGAAGAGGCCATATTCCCTGAAAAGGAGCATCTGTTTTAAGTGTCTCAAAAGTTTCAGACAATCACAGATTTCTGAACACAAAACTATAAATCCTGTGTACCTGAGAATTCCCTGTGCAGACAGCACGCGGATGACGGCTGCCTAAGGAGGATTATTTGCTACGCATGGCTACCACATATGACAATTATACCATGAAACAGCAGCTGGAGGAAGCGCACACAGGGGAGCTCCAGAACGGGATCATCAAGCTGTGCTCCAGACCAGGTTTACCTCACCCCCAGCTTTTTTTCTATGAGATTCAGGAAAGAATTTCTTTATATACACCCAATTTGTGTGGCTATCAGTGAGATGCCATTCAGTGTGAAGTGAGGGGCAGGACTGCACACCTAGTAAAGGCAAAGGAATACTGGGAATTGAGGAAAAAAAACCCAAAGTTTGCACTCATCCAATTTTCATAATCTCCCTCAGTAACTGCATCATGACATGGGCCCACTTTTATTTCACGTAAAATAATTTGCTAAAATGTGATACAAGCTTACCATTAATAATTTCAGAACTCAAACTCCTAGGTTAAATCACTCTGCATTGGTTGGCACCCGCAGCAAATTAAAAAGCTTAGACTTTCAAAGCACTCTTTGTGTTTGCATAGGAAATGCCGCAGAACAAACTTTCCGTATTTACCGGCAGAGAGCCCAGATCAGGCTGTACATCTCCTGTTTCACTCCAATTTGGCTCCTTTTCTGTGTACATGCCTGCTTGCATGCATGTGGGATTCGGCCCCCTGAAACCACATCATTCTTATGACTCTGCCTGGAGTGAATCCAAAACCGGATCCACTGAGCTGTTGGCTCCGTTCAGTTAAAAATCGTTAAAACAGAGTGTACTATTTCAGCTGATTCCATTGAAACAAGTCTTACAAGGATTGCTGGTTGTATTTTGCTTTCAACTCAGATATGTGGGTTTTTTATATGTTTGCAATGCCTAGATATAAAAAATAAATGAAATTATGTTTTCTAGTCATGTAAAATTGTGAAATCATGACATATCAGTAATACTTGTCCTAAGAACCATACTGTTGAAATTCCACTTCTGCTTGTACAGTCCCTCAGAGTGACCCAAAAATCAAATGCCCTGGGAATACACAAGAAGGCAAGTCCGTATTGAGATTTCCCTTGTAAACACTCCAGTGACTTGTGGCCTCTGAGGACTTTTGGAGCCAATGGTCAGTTGGGAACTTTTCTTTCATCGTTCTTTGAGCTTTCATAAATGTTTCATGAATAACAGTGCTGTATGACAATGGGTTCTGCAGTCCAACTATGCGTAAAGAAATGTTTGTTTTCATTTAAAAGTGTTACTAGTTTCAACTGATGCTCACATTTCTCACACTGTGAAAGACTGAATGATTGTCCTCTATTCATTTTCTCAATTCCACTCATGATTTCAGACATCTCTATCATATTTTCTCTCTTATAATTTCTTCTCTTGGCTGAAAAGACAGCTTACCTAATTGTTCTTTCTACAGAAGTGAGTCCACTTCTTTATCCAAATAGGAAAATCTGTAGCATATCGAAATAAGCAAAACACCCCTCATAAGCTTTTTTTTTTTCCCTGTTGCTATCAAAGAGAGACAATAAACTGGAAAGTATAATGTAATGTTAGAAGTTATACTGGAATAGCTGGAGGCTTTAGAAAGTGGACTAGAAGTAAAATTAACATGTAAAATTACTGAAAAGGAGGAAAAGAAGAAAGTATTACCACAGACGTTTTGGATATAAGGTCAGGGAGGGAACTATTCCACTTTCCACTGCTGAAGCAGCATGTGTTTTGTGGTATTAAACTTCAAGAAAGATTTGGGGAGTATCCAAAATGGAAGAATGCTGAAGAAGTGACCTGTAAATGGCTCTTTAGAGGTATGTGCTTGCAGTAAATCCAGATGCAAATGGAGATTTTGATATACAATGGCAATGGACCACTTAGAGTTGCTCATTTGTTAAGAGCAAGACTTTCTGGAGAGGCCTGAAGTTATTTATAGTATCTGTAGTATTTGCTACCTGAGTCTTCTCCTGAGACTTCCAAAAGCAAAGATGCAAGTAAGAAAAATGGAAGCTCATTTACAGGCCTTACTGTATCATGGGAAAAAGGGGCTCTGACCCAGAAATGCTATAATGATTAAGGAAAAAAAAAAAAAAAAAAAAAAAAGATAAATTCAGTTTATAAACTTAAAACAATTGCCAAATATGAAGAAAACAGTTAGGCTGCAGTGGCACTAGAAGGTATTTGCAACAAAGAAATTAACTGCAAGAAATAAAAAGCTGAGTAATCATGCATTGAAAATTCGCTCCCAATTCCATAAAATGCAGAGCATGGAGTTAAGAGATAACAGCTTTGAGGTTTAATAAATGATTTTGTAGCTTTGTTGAGATGTGGGCAATATCAAACAGAAAGCGGAATGCCTGGTAGAATACAGATATGCAATGCACAGTAGGGGATGCACCAGCTTGATCATAAGCTAAGATATGTTAATGTACATGAAATGGCATCCAAAACTAAACAGCCATTAGGTCTAACAGGAAGAAAATGACTGGGGACATTCATCACTTCAAAGCCAGGGAAATGGGAATTTAAAAAGTGGTCTTTTGTAATTTGACCAAGTCTGGATTCCCAATACTTTTTACCGTAACTAATATCTGTGTAAGAAGTGGATGTTTTACAGATTTACACAGCAGAGGGCTTGCTTATTTTAAACCACGTGGCCACACAAAACAGAGGTGATGTAGCCCAGTAGTTGCTAATGCAATAAGCCATATGCCACAGTCAACACTTAATGTTTCTTGCAGCTCACTGCCACAGTCTCATGGATGCCAGGTGATCCAAGATACTTGAAGTGAAGGCAAGAGGCAGAGAACAAGCTGTCCCCAGGCCTTGAGAGGCAGCAGCAGTGCCACACCACGGCTAAGTCACAGAAAAAGGGAGATAATGGCTTAGATGTATCAAGACACTAACGCTCAAACAAGTTTCCATTTTACATACTACAGTTCTTCTGGGTCTGAAACAGCAACTCTTCTGTTAATTTGCTGACAATGTCTGGCAACTATCATTAGTAGGAAGAAGAGTCACAGCTGCAAAGTGCAAGGAAGCGGTTCTGACACACTTTGATGAAGTAAAAAAAACAATCCACTAACCTGAGAAAGGGAAGGATATAAGAACATGCTCCCAGAGTTTCTTTCAGGTTAGTTCTTACACACTGCTACATTTACATTTTAAACATTCCTTGTGTATTATTCACAGTTCTGTATCCAGATCTCAAGCACCAGATCCCAAGAAAGAAAATTACTTCAGTGTTAAGAGTACCAGTGCCTGGGTACCATCCCTTAACAGGTTCAGGCTGGCTTTCTACACCAGATCTTAAAAACTAGTTATATCTCAGCAGATCCAAAGGACAAGGAAAAGGCTGCTTTTACCAAGGCAGATGGCTTCAGGCAACACAAAATAACTTCAGGATACACAAAAACTATTGGATGTTGACAAGAAGTCGGGCTTTTCTCAGCAGAAAGTAAGCTGGCTTTGTATCCAAAGGACACTGAAGCATTTTGCAAGGCAGGTCTAACTACCTCTTGTCTTTGCTCAGAGTCAGAACCATTTAAAATACAATGGTTTCTAGCCTGGAAAGTAGTATGCATCAAATCCACCTGACCCAGGGAAATTTAAGCTGAAAAACCAACACAGAGAAATTGGAGCCATCCTAGTGTGATTTCTACTTTAAAGTATATCCACAGTCAGCACAGACAACCCTGTTCAGGTGCTCTGTCTGCTGACAGCAGTGGGCAAGAAGAAAGAACAATTTAATCCTCAAGGTTGAATCTGTCTACTGTGCATGATCTCTCATCAGAAAAGATGGAGCATCAGTAGATTTTGGAGGTAAAAGAAATCAGTGGTATTTTACTGGCTGGCTACAGGGTAACAGCACTTGCACAGCATTAAAAATTTATCAGCATTTTAACTGGACATGCCAGCATCCTGAGCAATAAACTGAAACATGCTTCTGAAGGACAGCTCTTTCAAGGTCTAGAAAGGCAAAAGACATAGTGATGGGCATCTTACAAATGTACGAGAAGTAAAGCAAAAATTAGAACACTAATTGGACAGAGTTCTGGAAAAGAAGGGAAAAGAGGTCTTACAAAAGCTCTTTAGAAGCAAATACCTGATTGTGGTGTTTATGTATGTATGTGTTTGCTTTGGAGAGATACACAGACACATCTTTCATGACACCATTGAAAGGACAGGGAGAAAAAGATGAGAACTATGATTCCATGATAATTATAACAGCTGTGCAAAGCTGTCTTACTCTGCGTGCCATTCGCTGCCACCAACGCTACCCTCATTTTTTCACTCAGTACCTCTGTAGGTCTCAGGCATACAGATCAGGACATGTCAAAACCATGAGTTCAATACAAATGAGTTCCACAAGATGCAGCCATTGCTGCAGATTTGCTTGCGACATCCCTAATGTATCTTTCAAGACCAAAACCTAGATCTGCTACAGTTTATCCAAATTATTTCCATGGGTTTTGGCCAGACAACTTAAATGGCTGAGAACCTGGCCCATGGCTATTGTAAAAGCAACCCACCTTTATCCACATTTAACACACTCTGGAGACCATTTTCCATCACAGTTTAAACATTTCTCCCATTTACAATTTCTTACCTGAAGAGTTTTGACTTTTCCTAAAACGTTCTCCTGTGACATTGCTTGGATGGCCTGTTCGTTCTCTGTTCTCCCATCAGGTATAAAAACACTGTCATGGGAAAAAGCTCGACTGCCCATAGAATAGTGGGAGGACCTGGAAAAAACAGTTAAAAGATAAATAAGCTCAGTGACTAATTTATGAGAGTGACTCTTGATATCATAGCTGCCCTGCTGTGTAGATTTTCCCTTCCTCTTGCCTTCTACATAAAAGCTTTGAACATTCTCAGAAAAGAGGTATCCAAACACTGTCTATAATCAGAAGTTTAACGGAGGTACATAATGCCTTCACATGCAGTTTTCCTCCTTGGAAGGCCATAGAGTGGGCTGGTTTTAGTAGGTGTGATGAGAAATTCAATTAATTTTCTTTAGAAGTCTCAAATCTACATGTTACTTTTAGAATACAGAGTAGATGGTGATGCATACATTACCAGACTGCATATTTAAGAAAGCTTCATTCATGCTTAGTCCCAATTCTTGGGACCTGCTGTCATTCTTAGTTAAAAATGGCAGCATATTCCAAGGGAAGGTAGCTCTGTAACACAAAAAGAGGCAATACACTCTAATAACCTACTTCTAAACCTCATTTAGCTGATTATTTACCTGCTCCGATCACCACAAGTATGATCACACTGACAATTATTTGTTATTATCAAACCTCCAAACTGATAAGAAGCTTATTACATCCGCCCATGTGTGTTTGATTACAAATAAATAGCAAGAGATGCCCATGTTTCACTGTTAAGGCAGATGCCAAGGAGGAGAGTGTGACACGAATGACCTAGTTATATGGCTCTGCTCTAAATCCACGGGCAAAGGAGTGAAACAGAAAGTATTTTCGTTTACTGGAAATTTTGAAGGCTCATCAATAAAATCGAGAATTTAAAAAAAAAAAAAACAAACCAAACAACTTTGTGGGTTGTTACTTTGGGATTTGGTGCCATTCTAGGGGAAAAATTTTGAGTTTGAAAGTGATGTTTTGTCTTGCCTAGAATATTTCATGAGTAGAAAGGCAGAGAAATACAGACATGATTAAAGACATGGTAGAAGGAAAATGAACAACTGAGAGGTCTTAAATCTCTCATTTTAATAACCTATTGGCAGTTCTATGAAACCCATTTATAGCTTCAGTAAACAAACAATCTGGAGAAAAAAATACTTTTTATACTGATCTAATCATCACAACCTTCTACATGTGATAAAAACAATATAACAGATGTTTCAGCAAAAGCAAGGAAGAAGACACTTCCAGAGTGATAGGGAAGTAAAATAACAAGAAAAATTAAAGCCTCACATATGTAAGAAAATCAGTATCTTTCTCTCCCTATTAAAACCTACTAACTGTTTATAAAGTGTTCAGGAGATTTCTACTCTTACTTTAGGAAAAAAAATGTTTGGAATGTATTTATTACATTCTTGTTTCATCTTTTTCCTGGGATATGAACATAATCTTTTTAAGTAAAACCAATAATCTCTTCTTACCAAGGAAGAAAGCTACATAGGGTCACATTAACCTTTTATAACTGATAGGCTGCTTTTGACTTTTATAACAAAATTTCCTACAGTAACCTGAAAATAATAGGAAAAAAACCCACCACAACCTCTCCCTCTTTCTAGTTTACATATGTAAACTACATTTGCACCCAGAAAATAAACAATCCAACCTTTGGTGGAGAACATGCTCAGCTCTCTGTATTGTTTCATCCTTGATGCAATCACAGACTAACTGAAAAAACATTTTTTATCCAGAGTTAGTATTAGAGCAACATGCTTCATTTGAAACTGTGATGGTGTTGGCTGGGGTACAGATAAGTTTCTTCATGTTAGCTGGTATGAGGCTATGTTTTGGACTTGTGCTGGAAACACTGTTGATAACACAGGGATGTTTTAGCTATTGCTGAGCAGTGCTTACATAGAGTCAAAGCCTTTTCTGCTCCTCACACCACCCCGCAGCGAGCGGGCTGCCCAAAGAGTTGGGAAAGCACACATCCAAGGCAGCTGAACCCACCTTATCAAAGGGAAACCCCATATCATATGTCATCATGCTCAGCATATAAAGCTGAGGGCAGAAGGAGGAAGGGGTGGATGTTCAGAGTGACGGTGTTTGTCTTTCCAAATAACCATTGTGAGTGATGGAGCCCAGCTGTCCTGGAGATGGCTGAACACTTCCCTCTGTTGGGAGGTGGTGATGGAATTCCTTGTTTTGCTGTGCCTGTAAGCAGCTTTCCTTTTCCCGATTAAACTGTCTTTATCTCAAACCATGAGTTCTCTTTTACTCTTCTGATTCTCTCCCCATCGCACCAGGGGGGTGGTGAGCAAGCGGCTGCATGGGGCTTAGTTGCTGGCTGGGGTTAAACCACGACAGAAAAAAAACCAGCACACAATCAAGGAAAGAGCTGGTCAATAATTCACAATGGTTTTAGTCATCAAAGAGGAGGAACATTTAACTGATGCTATATTCTATTTTAGTGGTTTGGGGTTTGTTTTTTTTAAATAAAAAACAGCTTGATTGCCTTTGGCTGCTAAAGGTACTACAGCTTCTTTTAGAAACCTTTTATTAGAGGAACCATAAAAGTATATTTTTAAACTCCCTTCTAAAAAGGTTACTATTCAAAATAGTCATGATTCAGCCTGTAAACAGAGCTGTGGTAAAATTACATGGCATTGGAATATATCTACCTTATTCAGCCATCCAGGAATCTGCTCACGAACCACAGTTTGAGAAATTCCCTTTAAACAGAGACAAATTCCTAGCAGGCCTGACTTGCAAAATGAGCAGTTTGACATGAAGCTGACTAAAAGCTGTTTTTTTTTCATGTAACCATGTAGGTCTGTTAGAACTGAAAGCTCCAGCACTGCATTCGACAAAGGGAAAAAAGTCTGTTTACACAGCCAGAACTGAGGGAAAGGGGCAAAATTTGACAAACCAGTGTATGCCAATCCCTCCTGCATTTGCATGCTTCAATGTGTGAAACTGCTGCAGGTGCAGAAGGCAAGGCCAGTGAGAATTTATTGTTTACTATTTACCTTTCAGCTGAGAAATCTGCTGAGGATGCGCAATCCAAGTCATATTGTGCTCCAGAGAGGATCCTCTCTCAAACGTTTTTCCAGCAGTACTGTGGCTCAGATACTTGGGGCTTTGTTTCAGTACTATTCACCGTGCATATGACACCGTCCTCCCCTTTTACTGTCCAGTGGGTTGGTGTTTTCATACTTAAAACTGGACAGCTCATGTTTATTCCTATTATTTGTCACAAATAATTAGTAGGTGAGGATTGTAATTCAGGCACCAAAGAGTTTGGTGACTTGTTTACAAGTCAGTTTTGACCTTACTAACGAATCTGTAAATATTTAAGTCAAGAACAGCCAACCTGCAGCTTTTGAACTGAACAGGGCTTGCTAGCAGTTGAAACCCCAAAACTTCAGCTGATCAGCAGCAGGGGTGCTCTGGCAGTAGGAACTGCCTCATAATCTGAGTCCCTGAAATGGAAGAAAAGAGCAAGTGCTGAAGTCAGGGCTGAGACATGGCTGCGGATGACCTCAACCATCGTGCTGAGGATACCTTTAGTGATTTAGTCTCACCTCCTGCCTGTGAACTAATCCAATGAATCTCCTGGCAGTTTGAGATACACAGTACGTTGACTTTTGGCTATGTGCAGATTCGGGTTTATGGCAAAGTGTGATGAGACTTGTTAAAATGTCATTTAAAGCTTCCTTTGGGACACCAGGTAATGTGAAACAGCTTGGGAGCTTCATATGACCTGCAATTAGAAGTGCATCACTGCTGAAAGCCCAACCGTATTTTGACAAGTGCTCACAATGGTATTGATGGCAGGTTAGGACCATGCTAAGCACTTTTGACCATGCTAAGCCCATACAGCATTTCTCTTCTATGCTCTCCCATATGGGAACTGATTTCAGTTTAGGCACTTCCACATTACACAGTATCACATCTTTCTGTTTTCATAGAGCTGAAGCAAAAAATATTTGAAAGCTTTTGTCCAGTTTTGCTTTCTTATTAACTTGCTTCCAAACCAAACATACTCTAAATTGTCAGAATACATTAAACATTCAGAAGAAGCCCTGCAATTAATTAACCCGACACTTCTCTCTACCATATCTCCTTAAAATGCTTTGCAGTTAGGCTAGATATTTCAGAACTGGGTGACTGAACATTCTTGCTAGCTACATGTCCAATAATCAGTTAAGAATTTTGCTTAAATGTCTGTGTAGGCTAAACTACATTGGAAAAACATGTTCACATATTGTAGTAACCGAGTTTCTTTAACAGGTGAGTTTAAACACAGTTCAAGGTGATTTCCAGGCTCCTTGAACTTTCTGAAAGGTGTCTTATTTTGCTTACCTGGAGCCCACAATCCTTTCAAATCTTCCTGGCTTTGAGTTTGACAGATAACATCACAAAGGTCTTTTTTCCATGTCTTTTTTTCACTCTCCTCATATTCTACTTCCAGATAGACTGAATTTCTTTTAAGTCATAATACAGAATGAATAATTGAGTTTCCTTCACTGCTGCCACCACTTCTACCTCCAAAGTTTTTCTCAGAAGCCTTTATACAGTAACGTTGTCACAGTCTACATCTACAGACTGTACTTCAGAAACTACCCCTCAATTAAAAGTCACGTTGACATCAAGTATGGCTGTTAACAGATTGATGGTATGTCAGAGACCTAGGCTACAGACATAGCTGTGGTTGAAGGTATTCCAGTTTCAAACTGCCATATCACTTCCAGGAGATGTGGAAAAACAGGGGCATCAGCTTATAAGCACTTCTGTTGATAATACTGATGATGACACTTCAGAGGCTGTTTGTGCTGAAAATAATTGAATCATCATCTGACTCACTTCCAGAAACCTGACTAAATTAAATGAATTATGGATGTGCTATACCAAAATACAAAGCACTTTAGAAAATCCTTAAGGATGTTCTCTCTGAAGATATGTTGCAACCCAAGTATCACATTCCAGTTTCAGTTTTAGTACACAAATGTTCAAAACTAATTTTGTCATACTCAAACCAAAGTTAAATTCCATCTGCTCTGAGTTTTCTTTGCCACACCTGTGCCCCTATTCAGATTCCTGAAGACAGG